TGTGTGTGTGTGTGTGTGTGTGTGTGTGTGTGTGAATGGGTTGTTGACATGTGTTTTGCTGGCATATATTTTCACAATTAATTCATCGGTTCGAGGGACGTATGAGAGGCTCTCTGTCTGTGTTTTGCTGCTACTGCTTACTGACTTCCTCTATTCATCGTTATTAGGTCGATTAATTAAACGCTTATTGCAAAACGATTGTTATTGTTATTTGATTGTTCGATTGTTCGATTGTTATGGTTATGATGAGAATGAATTTGCATATGCTTGTGAGTAAAATATTGTATGAAGTTCAGTTGAGAGGTTGGATCAATGTGGATATTTATGTATAAAATGTCGGTAATGGATAGATCTGTTGGAGATGATTATCATTTACCTGAATATATCAATGATTTAATACAGATTTGATTATTTTCCGCTAAGTTATCCATTCTATCATTTGATAATAGAGTTTACTAATCACTTTTTACCGTTACATTACGTTTTATCTTTATTATATTATGAATGTTTTATGATGGACAAATTGTGGAAGTAAAAATTTTGAAATGGTTTTAAAAATTTTCACTTTTTTAACTGTTTTCAGTTTTAGTACTTTGTCAGTTGTTTGCTGTAGTGTTGCTATTGCTGATTGGTGTTAGTTAATGATTAAGTAATAATTTGAATTTATACAATGTATCACAATTTCATGTTAATTCCCGTAACCAGAACATTCATTGTTTACACTATCTGTCTATTTTTATTAGATTTTTTGGCAGAATTTGCCCCAAATTTTCTTCCGGAACTTGAGGTGTAATCACCAACAGTATTAATCAATAAGTTTCCGTAGAAGTATGCTCTCTTTCGGGATGCTATTTAGATTGTTTCCTTTTGTTTTTTTTTGAGTTTTTTTATTGTTTATGATGTATAGTAATGCTGAAACTATTATGACTCTTCATTAGTGAATTCTTTTATTCAAGCATTTTGTTTATGATGGATAGTAATGCTGCAACTATTACCACTCTTCATTAGTTAATTTTTTTTATTCATGCTTGCGGTCAAATCACGAAAGGTAAAATAGTTGCCTATGGGATTTTTTTATTGTTAATATGAACGCTTCAGCGTTAACGCCAAGTAATGGATAGGCACATTTAAATACACAGATATATTCAAATTATAAAACACTCTAATATTGTGGTTTTAGATTGTGTGAAGATTCTTGGTTTGTGGTATTATATTAACTTATTATTATGCATCTGTGTTCTTCCTTTGATACACTGAGAGCAGTCTGAAAAGAAACGTAATTTTTGTCTGTGATGTTTGCACAACAGCCAAAGGGGCCACCGTCTAATCGAACTCAAACAACACTAACAAGCCAAAGTGAGGCTGCTGCTAAAGAAAAGTAAGTTTTTTTTTCGCTAGTTAAGGAGCATCTAACAAATTCAGTATTTGATATCGAGTACTATCATATATGAAGAAAGGCATAGTTTATTGGTCAGCTTCATTGCACAGTGTAAGCGATTTGGTGGAGTACTGGAAGTTTTGTTTCATTATCTGATTATATTGATGGTATTGCAGACTTGCTGGATTTGTGTATGAATATTTGGTGCATAATGGTGCGACAAAAACCGCCGAATCATTCAAAGGCGAAATGTTATCGGTTAGAAATTGTAATCATAAAATTTCTGTGCAGTTTTTTTGAGATTATTATAATTGTTAGCGGTTTAATCATGTGCATTATCTCCCAAATTTTTTGTAGAATCTTGTTGAAAACTCTGGTTTAATAAATCTTTCACTTCATTTCTCTCAGGAAGACAGAATTATATAAATCTAGTCAATATGAAATGAGAGTTTCATAACTGAAACGAAAATCATCATTATTTGTCATTATTTATCTGCCTTTCACAACCAATATGAAATGAAGGAAACCGGAAATGCGGGATTGTTTCAGCAAAATAATGCATCGAAGCAAATCAATATTGGTGACGCACCAGGATTTTTGCAGAATTGGTTCTTGTAAGTTTTGCATTCATAATTTTAAAGTTCGAAAAAGGAAATTCATTGTATTTTGTTTTCGTCGTTATCCATCAGTTGCGGGATTCTTTGCAGCCTATTTTGGGATTTATACTCAGCAGCTCCAGAAAGGCGAGATACATGCGAAGCTTCACAAGAAGCTAAAGCTTTTCATGAATACGTAAGTTTTTTTTCTGATAACTGTTTCCATTTTCTGAAAGTTTTTGTACATATACAGTATTTTAATGATTATAAAAGATCAAAAGTGAAGTGTTGTTTGGGTAACGTTCAGTGATCATTTTGTTTTGTTGAAGGGGTTTATGAATGCAAGTCATGGCGTTCCTCCAGGTCCTGCTGGCACACCAATGATGAATGGTATGCATGGATCTCATCTGGTTGGTTGTCACATTATTGTTTTGATTTAATGAATTTTATCAAGTGTTTGTTTGATTATTTTGGCACTTCTTATATCTGCGATATTTTATGTGTTTTTTATTTTAAATTATTGTTTGCGTTTGTTGCAGTTTCCGTCGGCAGCAGCTAGCCCTCTAGGTATGGGACCTGGACCAGGGCCAGATGGACTTATGCCTGCTGGTTATTATCCCCCGCGAAGTGGGCAGCCGGGACCATCAGGCGCAACTAGTCAGTCGTCACCCATTTCAGGTTATATGTTAGGATTAGTAACAAAATTTAATTACTTCAATTATATTTCTTCACTTTATCTATACATATGTTTTCTATCAGTATAAAGTATTTTAAGTTTGGTACAGAAAGACAATTATTGTTTTACAATGTCACATCACTTATTAAAATTTATGAATACCTAAGCAATGCCATCTAAAAGCTTAACCATTGGTTGCACAATGATGATCGTTTTGATTTTTTTCAGGTGTACCTCCTTCTGGAAGTTTTGCTCCAGTTCCACCACGGTATGCCATGCCTTCAAGAAATGGTCCGCCAGGCCCAGGTCCTATGCCACCCGGTGCTGGTTTTCCAGGTGCAGGACCTCCTCATATGTTTGGTGAACAAATGCGACCCATGCAACCACAGCGACTACCTCCAAGTGCAGGCCCGATGCGTATGCCAACGGTACGTTTACATCGTTTTAGAGCAAATGTTTTATGCTGTTCTGTAAATTTGAGTTTTTCAAATTCGTTTAATTAATCAAAAAGCACATTTTATAGTAAAAGAATTCCTAACAGTTCAGTATGTTATACCATTCCTTGCT